TGCCACAGGCTTATGTGCCTATCTGACTCGCTCTCATGTTTATGGTTTAAAAAAATCTAAACAGAATAAGTAGAGCGTATGTATCTCGAAGACTTGTAAATTCAATTTTTGTGTCCTTGTATACCTTGTCTAAAATAGTTTTTGAACACGTGTTGTCTTTTCTTTTAAGCACCAAATTATAAAACCTCAGTGTCAAAGAGGAAGTGGGAATGTTCCTTTTTTTCCTAATGCTGTTTCCCTTTTTCAAATGATGTTCTGCACACCTTCCCTGTCGTGGAGAAGGACTGGGAATGACCGTCTTCATCTGTCACGGTGTCATCTCCTTTCGTTTACGTCGGTGCCTTTCTGCAACAGTCCTCCGTCTCGACGTCCATGGTGGCTGTCCCTTGGGACCTCTCCTTCGGCACAGCCATCGCCTGCCATTCGTTTCTGCCCTCACTCCTTACTGGTCCCCGGGCTAATACAGAACGGGTTGCTCTCTCAGTCAGCAATCAGCAGGTAAGGCTTGTGCTGACACCATCTTCGCCCCATGGCAGCCCTCCGAGGGACTGTCCACACACGCCACGGCGGTGTGAGTGGCCCGCCACAGGCCGTGCTGCACACGAGGGAGACTGGCCATATGTTGCTTGGCCAATTTTCCTGGCAAGTCTGTCTGTTTCCTGGTCCCCGGCTGAGGGCTCCTGGTTTGCTCAAGGTTATCCGCCCCCTTCCAGAGCTCACGTGGGCTTGGCCCGATGGCAGCAATTCCCCTGTCCTCTGGGGCGGCAGAACCAGGCACCCTGAGGGGCGCCTAATGGAGAGGCAGCTCCCAGAAGCGCTGCTCTGACCTCTGTGCCCCGCTGTGGGATGGCATCTCTTCAGCCGATGCCCCTCTGCTGGCACAGGCCAGCTCTGGAGACCCCCTCTGCCTCCCCCGCCTCTTCCTTCTCCCCCCATCTCCCCTCCCCTTCATTCGTCCTTTTGCTGCTGGCCGCCTGCCGTGTATTTTCCACTGGGTGCAAGGCACAGGGTCACTGGGCATCAGGAAGCTTGCGTGCGGTCGGATGGTAAAGAGGCTCTCTCGAGTTCCTTTTTGGCGTTTTGCTGTTTTGATACTGAAGAACGCTTCTGCTTGCTGCGGCCTGCCTAGTCTATGGGATGGGGGAGGGGTGGTCACTCAGGATGGGAGCCCCGCACAGGCTCTGCTGGCCTGGCCACCAGGCTGCTTCCTTGGGGCTTCTGGAGCCTGGTCACAGGGCATCACGCTGCTGGAGGCCTGGGGAGAGTGAGTGCTCTGGGGACTCCGACGCTGGCCAGGAACGGGAGTGTGGCCTTCCCAAAACAGCAGCCCGCCCACCGGTGACCCGGGTCAGCCTCGGCAAAATGGGGTGGTGGACGATGGCTGGCGGGAACCTCACGGGGACCCCTCGCGGGCCCGGCATCCATCGCAGGTGGCGGGGCGGGGTGCTAGGCCATGGGCCATTTGCGGAGGACCCCGCGGGAGGCCGCTCCATCACGGACAGGCACCGGCCACTGCGAGACCACCCCCGCCTGAGCCTCCAGCTGTGCTCAGCTCGTGTCCAGCGTGATCGCTTGGCAGAGTCTCCTGTTTGTGATCGATGCCACACGCGTACTCTCCAGGTAGAATTTTACATTGCTTGGGTCTCTCATGAGTGAGAAGAAGAATAAGGCCATGGGTGCTCAAATGGGGACCGACCTGCAATACCATCCTTCTGTGCTCTTTACTTCCTTCTTAGGATCCCGGGTGTTATTTTACAAGTCTTTGCTTTCGCAGGGCAGTTCCTGGGGTCGCTCTGCCCCGGAAGCCCTGTGTCAGCTCTTCCCGGACAAAGGTGCCAGCTCTGGCCGGAACCGACGTGGCCATCACTGGCCGGCTCCCGGTCTGGGAGGCCCTCTGAGGGACCTCGTCGCCATTTCCACAACAGTCACCGCTGGGACCGCCTACCCCGCTGGAAACCATCCGAGTGACAGACCCGACTGGCTTAGCACATCTCTTTCTTCCAGAGACGGTGCATGCGCCTTGCGTGCCTTGCAGAGCCCTTCACCTGGGGGCACATCTGGTCCCGACACTGAATCCGCGGGGTGGCCGTCACAGGCGAGGATCCGTTATTACAGCATTCGTCTTCCTTGCCAAAGCAGAGCCTGCACACGATGACCACCCCATTGTCACGGCCGGTGCCCACCGCTCTCCCGGTCCTCCGGCCCCGGGGCTGGACAGTCGGTTCTAATTTCCCGGTCCCCGGCGTCACCCACATTTACCCTCCGAGTTCTGCCGAATTCCCTGTGCGTCTGCCCGTCGGACCCCGCCCTTCGCTCTGCTCCACGCACCTGCTGGCCTCTCCCGCAGCTTCTGCAGCTCCTCTCACGGCCTGGGCCTCACGCTTGCGTGTTCTGGGCGCCTGTGCGCATGGCCGCCCCCCGGTTTTTTGTCCCGTCCAGCTGCTCGACGCGAGCCAAGCCGTGAGCAGCTCGCGCCGCCCGGCCTTCCCTTCCTTCTCCTGCGAGGCCACCTCAGCACCAGCTCGCAGCTCAGCCCCAGGCAGGACGGTCCCTTTGTGTCCCTGTCCACGCCCACGCCTACGCAGAGCCGGCTCCGGATGCTTCTCAGGAGAGCGGCTCTCACCACAGGCCAGGCGTCTGTCCCGTCTGCGAGCCACCGGGCACTCACTCCAAAGTCCCTCTCCCCCTGCTTTGGAATGACTTGGCTCCTTGCTCCCCAGTCCTGCCTGGAGCAAGGACTGCTGTTCACCTGGCCGTGGCTCCCTGTGTGTGGGGTGCAGGTCCGCTGTACCACCTGTGTCACGCCATATTCCTTCCTCACTCCTCCACGGTCGTGTCACTTTCCATGCAGGGTTCCTGCTTCCTGAGATCGTGTGTGACCAGGGGAAAGGTGTGACCATCCTAGGCAGGGGCCCCGGGGAGGTGACGGGAGTCTGGGGGGCGGGGCTGCTCACTCTCACCACAGGTCTGTCCCGTCTGCGAGCCACTGGGTGCTCACTCCAAAGTCCCTCTCTCCCTGCTTTGGAACGACTTGGCTCCCCCGTCCTGCCTGGAGCAAGGACTGCTGTCCGCCTGGCCGTGGCTCCCTGTGTGTGGGGTGCAGGTCCGCTGTACCACCTGTGTCACGCCATATTCCTTCCTGACTCCTCCACGGTCATGTCACTTTCCATGCAGGGTTCCTGCTTCCTGAGATCGTGTGTGACCAGGGGAAAGGTGTGACCATCCTAGGCAGGGGCCCCGGGGAGGTGACGGGAGTCTGGGGGGCGGGGCTGCTCACTCGGCCAACGGAAGGCCTGGGGGTTGGAGCCCCAGATGCCTGGGCGAGCCCCCTCGTGGTGTGTCCCCTCAGACCACAGGCTCAGCGGATTTGGGTTTCCTGCTGTGACATTCCCAACGAGGCTCCAACCCTATTACAGTCAATGAACCTAAACAGCATTCCAGAGCCTCCTGCTTGCTTAAGAGGCACCTGGAAATGAGGTGGCTTCGTCTCGCTTCAGTGCTCCCAGCAAGAGGGGATCTCTGCTCGACGGAGACGGAGATGAGCGTGGTGGGGGGCGCCTGGCACCTGCCTTCGCTTCCCCCAGAGCAGCATCTGACAAGCAGGGCGCAGGGCTCAGCCCCACCCCCGGCAGTAAAGCCACCGGGTCAGGCAGGAAACGATGGCGGGTTTTGTTGTTAACCTCTTTCTCGCTTACGGGCCTGGCAACGAGGTAAACGGGGCCGCGAAGGCACGAGACCCCTACGGAGCTCACGCACCGAGCACCCGTCCTGTTTGGACCTGCGGGCACACTCAGAGCCCTGGAGCAAGCGCTCGCTTGTACATGTCACAGCGCCAAGGGCGGCGGGTGCCCTGCTGGGTGACGTGCTCTCCGGGAGGGCTGTCTCGGTGGAGTGTGGGCAGAGGGGTGTGCCTACCTTCACCCTGTCCATGCAGGCCTCCATCTTCAGCTGCTCCACGGCCTTCCTGGCCTGGGAGATGCTGGTGGTGCTGTTGCTGGACACACCCTCCTTCATCCTGCAGCCCTGGAACAGCGAGCGGAGGGGTTGGGGTGCTGCTTCTCCGGAGGCAAGGCCGAGCCATCCGTGCCCCCTGCCCCCAGCACCGACAGCTTCTCCATCCCGCTGGGGCATGTGGGACCCCCCCCACCCCGGGGGAAGGAGAAGGAGTGTGCCACCAGCCACCAGAGTGCCCATGCTTCTGTTTGGGAAGGCTCAGCCTGGGGAGGGCGGGCAGGAGGTCGCAGAGGCCCCAGGCCACTCCGCTGCCCCCGCGGTCGAGGCCACGAACCGTCCTTCATCGCTCGACGGCACTTTCTTAGGGATCAGTCATTTTCCCACACATCTGTCCGCTCGTTCCTCCAGCAGCTCATGAAATTGGCAAAACGCAGAGACATCGAGCCAGCAGTGCGAGGCCCCGCAGCCAGACGCGGACTCAGCCCGACGCTGGGCTTGGACCGAGCCCAGGGCTGTCCCTGTGGTCTTGTGCAGCCTCGCCAGCCACTGAGGCTTCAGGCACACGTCTCCCGGGGTAAAAACCCTTTACTACGAATGTAAAGCCTGCTGTCATTCCAAAGAGTTTACAGACTTTGTGCTGGGAGTTCATTTTCACACAACAGTGCGCGCGCGCGCGCACACACACACACACACCCCACTCCACCCCACCCCAAGCAGAGATTTGCTTTGTCAGAAGCAACAACTTCTCCTGGACGAGACAGGAAACGATGCCACACAACTGACCAGCCAAAGACGGCCATGCCGCTGACAGGTCCACGAGAAAGCTCAGGCCGCAGAGTAGCTGTCCCATCTAACACAAACGGCTCAGGGGACGTCTAGTCATCCAAGCCCGAGGGTCACATAGGTGACAACGGCTTCCCACGGCACAGAGTGAGGCGTGAGAAGGCTCGGCCAGTGTCTTGCTGGGCAGGACACACTCTGAGTTTTTCCCTCGCACACACCAACCCTCTGGCCCAGACGAGGTGTGATGGCGGCTTCATTTGTCCACAGGCGACTTTTGAAAAATAAGTTTCTCGTTTTCAGACGCAGACCAGGCATCTGAGTCAGAGTCGATCAGGTGCGCGTTCCTGCCTTGGCCGGAGACTTTTCCTCAAGTAGAGAAGGAAAGTCGGGAGGAGCTGGGGGTTTTGAAACCTGGGGGAGCAGCCAGCGACCCCCCACTGCAGAGATGTGCATGCGTGTGCAGGTGTGTGTCCCTGTGTGTGCCCACGTGCCTGTGTGGCACACCCTGAGCCAGTCTGCACGTGTGTGGCTGTCCCTCAGGGGAGGTGTGTGCTATGTGTGTCTGCATCCTCATGTTCACGCGAAAAGGAGACAATCTCGTTCCCAACCGTCCCCAGCCTGACGCATGTGAAAAGGGTCCTAAAACCACTGCCCTGAGCCCCCGGCCCCCACTCCCACCCCCCAGAAGCCACCCTTCTCTTCCCTCCTCACTGGCTCTGGGCTTCAGGAGCTGGGAGCTGGGGCACAGGGATGGCTGAGAAGGCACTGAGCCCCGGAGAGTCACCAGGGAGGAGGGGGCTCTGCGCCGAGTGAGGGCGCGTGGAGCGTGTGCGTGTGCGTGTGCGTGTGCACGTGAGCACGGAGAAGGCAGCACAGCCAGAGCCTCGCCAAACCCCTGGACCTGTGGGGCTGGCCGCGCTCGGAACCCCTGACCCTGCAGAGCTGTCTCCTGCTCTCCCCGGGGGCGTTCGCACCCCCACCCCGCTGAGCAGTAGGGGGCCCGGACGCTCCACACGCGAAGAGGCCCCCGTGGAGCTGCGTTCTCCTCTTGGTGTGGGGGTCCCGTCCTGGTAGGACCCCCATCCCCTCGTCCCCTCCACGTCAGGCCACTTCAGTCCACGGCCATGAGGGCGTCGCCCGCTGTCCCGTCCTGGGACCCTTCCTCATCCAGCCCCGAAGCATCGCTTCGCTCAGGGCAGTGTCCTCAGCCCCTCCCAGCCCGTCGTTCGCACGGGCCACCAGCGTGATGGGTCCCGGCACGGCCGTCACGTTCTCCCGAGACCCGCCTTCCTTCCTTTGTCCCTAAATCCCGACATCGTATCATCCAACTCCGACCTCTGTCCACTCACGCTGAAGGCCGCTGAGCGTGCTGGGGAACCCCAAATGCTGGAGCTGGAGCCATGAGCGCCGCGGTCCAGCCTCGCAGGTCCTCAGAGAGGCCGGGCCATCTCCCCGTCCCGCCACCCTCCCGCCCTCCCGGCTCGGTCTTCAGGTTGTCACCTCCTCACGGTGTCACCCTCTCCTCCGGAGTGCACGACCTCGCTTCCGCTGGACGGAGAGAAGCCCACTCAGGGGGAACCCCCTGAACTCCTGCTCCCCCAGCTCCTGCGTCCACTGTGTCCTCGCTTCCGCTCCTGCGGCCGCTGCTCCTCTGCCCCGGGGCCCGCACTGGCCACCGCAGCTGCCCCCGAGCCCCCATCTTTAGATGCCAGACTCGGTGGTCTCGTCCTGACCTCTGGGGACTGACCTGGGGCAGTCAGGACACTCACGGGGAGACTGAGCTGGAGCCCCGAGCGGGGTGACCCTCGACACTGCGAGGACACACGCCTCACAGTGCGGCCCGTGTGTGTCGGCCACCGGTCACTGCAGGGGGAGGCGCCTCCTTCCCCGAGGCTCGTCCTTCACGTGGGTGACCCGTGGCCCCCCGCGGCTCTGCCCACCACTCGGCCCGCGATCCCCGTGACGCCCGTGTCCCTGATGCCTTCCCCACAGCACTTTCAAGTGTATGTCTGTGTTCTTCACCACCTTAGGACGACCACCGCCAACGAAACAGGACCCCCCCATTTCCACTCTCGCTCAGGCAGGCGAGAGTGGAGACACAGAGAGATGCCATGAGGTCACTGCCGGGGTCACTCTGGGCGCAGGCCGTGCCCTGTGTGCAGGGAGGTGCCTGGCCCCGGAGGAGGGAGTGGTTTTGCCACAAGTAAAGACGAGCGAGCCTCTGGAAGACACGAGCCCACGGAAGCTTCCTGAAGCCTGCCCTCCCCGCCTGGCCCGCCGCCCGAACGACCCCTCCGCCCTTGGGGACCGTCCGGACACCGCGCTCGTCCGTGGACGGGTGGACGTCCCTCTCCGCGTCCGTGTGCGCGTGCGCGTGCGCGTGTGCGTGTGCGTGTGCACCCACCGCATCCCAAGACGACAAAGGAACGGGGACGGATGGAGACGGAGCAGCTCACGGCCCTGCGACCACTGGGCGACTCGCTCGGCCCGCGGCTGCTCGGGAGACGACAGCTCGGGGGACGGGCTCTGTCACCCGCGTCAGACGCACGTGGGGACACGTGCACACAGACCGGCCCACGGCAGGTTCCGGCGGGGGGCGCCCCGTGGTGCGGAACTCAGTAAAGAGTGGGGGGCGGGTGTGCGAAGCGGGCCAGCCCCAGGCCGCTGACCTGACCTGCCTCGGGACACCGCGGTCAGGCCTATGACAACTGCTAAGGGGAGAAAATGCCGGTCTGAGGACCTGGCCCAGCCCCACGTGGGCCCACACGTCGCTGCGGCTAACACCTGGGCAAAAAAAAGACGGGGCCTGTCACTTGCTTACCTGCTGAGGTGGCACTGGACCGGGCCTGGGCAGGGGACAGGCTGGCGGCAGCAGCAGCTGGCAGTCGTCAGACAAGAGGCTGGTTCGGGGCTCCTGCTTTGAGGCTCACCTGAAATCACAACAGGAGTGAGCCGACACATGAAGCAGAAGCCAGGTGGCCCCCGGGTGGCCCGGCCCCACAGCGTCCTCTCCCGACGCCCAGCAGCTGTCCCGGGAAGCCTGGGGACTCTCGCGTCGGAGCACAGGGAGGCGAGGAGCTAAAGGCAGAGAGGGAAGAGCCCAACCCCACGTGGAGCAGAACAGGGCCGTCTTGAGGCCACAGGCCACCAGCCTCCCACACACGCCTTCCCTGGCCCGCACACCTCTGCTGGCCGTCCCAGCTCCGGCCAGACTCCGCCAAATAGAGACAGATGTTCTTATTATGAAAAGATCCGAATTCTACAGGAAAATATGAAGTTAGAATCGCCTTGTAAGTTCATTGTCATCTCCGTAACACGATGAGGATTTCTGCTGATGCCTTTCTCACTTTATTCCGTGAAAACAACACACACAGCAGCTCCAACGATGCTTCAAAACCAGCTTTGCGGAGGACGTTTAGGCCATCGAAGGCGAGAGAATGGGGTAACGGGACTATCTGCTTAGCCCCTTTGGGGCGGTGACAGCCACATCTGCCAAGTCCGTGCACCGGTCAGGCTGCAGTGACCCCACCCTGCTGGGGCAGGTCTCAGTGTCCCTGCAGTGGCCTGGCCACACGCACCTAACAAGACCTGGGGACAGAGGGACGGCGAGGTGACATGCACAGCGGTGGCGTCCGGCAGCACTGGTGCTGTGTTCAGAGGTCATGGAGAACTTGTCACATGGTCCCCAGTCCCAGCCTCCAGAGCCATCTCCATCCTGCCTTGGAGCAAAGCTCCTCCGGCTCCCGCTGATGCTGTGAACCTCCGGTGGCTTCACAGTAAATCTTCCTCCTGCTAAAGACCCCAGAGCGGGCCCGTTTCTTGGAACGCACGTGAAGTGTTCTTAAACTAGGGTTGGGTGGCGACAGCTGCGTTAGGGACTGGCCCCTGCGCACGTCCATCCATCTGCATGGACACTGGTCTGGCCACTAGTCTCTGGTTCTTCCCCCAGGCCAGCAGGGAGTGGCCTTGATCCGCTCTCTGCATGGCTGCGGGGCCGAAGGATGGTTTCTGCACATCTAAGGCCCACTACGCTCAGAAACAGCGAGGAACATAATGTGCACCGTGTGGCAAGGAGCACAGGACGTCCCAGGGACCTGTGGGACCCAGGCGTGAGGGCAGCAGAGAGAACTTAGCCTGTGCCGCTGTCTCCGTCACACCGGGAGCCGCGCCTGCAGCCACCTGTGGCCACGCGGGGCCATGTCGCCGTGCGCGGCCACGTCACCGTGCGCAGGCTCCCACCAGCAGATCTGCAAACCACTGCGGGTCCTCCGCCCGCGCCTGCCTGTGCCCTGAGACAGTGGTGAGTCTCGGCCAAACTACCCCGTGTGCCTCTCACGTCAGAGGCCCGGGGGGTGCAGGCAGCCCCTCCAGCAGGGCGGGGTCCCAGCACGTGAGAGGCGGTGTGTGTACATGCCCTGCCATCTACTTCTGCACTTGGGAGGGGCACCTCTGACCGGGAACCTGGCACCCCATTCCTTGAAAGGGTGTTTTGGGTACTTTCCTTTCCCCTTGAGAAGCAACATAATGCGACACGAAGCGCAGCTGCCACTTCCACCCACGCTGTGTGAGCTTGGGCCCAGTCGTACTCTGGGCCTGAGCTTCTCTCAGGAATGGGGAGAAGGTTCCCGCCTCCCCGCACGTCTGCAAAGGACAGTGGGCGGGGCGCGGATGCTTTGTGGGCGGGGCGAGGACTCCAATGAGCTGGGCGCGGATGCTTTGTGGGCAAGATGCGGATCAAACGTTGGCTAACTGCTCCTTGGAAAACCTCAGCCTGGCCTGCAAAGCACTTGGAATGCAAATTAAGCAGAGGCATTTGGGGTGGTTTCAGGTAATGTGTTTAACATTTTAAAAAGCTTAAACTACTGCCTCCAAATTCCTCTGACCAGTCATCTCAGTCAAAGACGGAGGGATCGGGGTGCTTTATGTATGAGTGACAGAATTAGATCAAACGCAAGGATTATGAGGTAGAAGGAGATGTTCGAAGACAGACTTTTAAAAGCATAAGGATGCCGTGCTAAACCAGCCCAGCCCCTCTTTACTACCTGGCCAGGGGGGCAAAGGTTTGGATCAGCCAGTGGTTCAGTCTGCACCTGGCCCCAGGCATAGCTGGGTAAGCAGGGTCTGGGGAGCGGACCTCTGACCCTGGGGGACACTCACAATTGGCCATGGACTTGAGCAGACCTCCACAAAGGAGCACAGGGAAGTGGCTGCGGGGGCCGCCCCCCCACTGACCGAGAAGGGCCCCCAGGATTCGGGCTCCCGCCTGCATCTTCGTCTTCTGAAGCTCCCGGTCTCCCCGACAGGCTCCAGTGCCCCGAACTTCTGCTTCTCGGTCCCTCACAGGCAGGACAGAAGCAAGAGTGGGCCAGGAGGGGACCCGGAGCCAGATGCCTGAATCCAGAATCCTGGATCTGCAATCACTCGCCATGCGCCTTCGGGCAGATGGCTTAACCTCTCACTTTCTCCAAGTGCAAAATGGGAAGAGAAGCCATCGTATCAGTTTTCTACAGCTGCTGCAACAAATCGCCACAAACATCTTTACAGGGCAGGAACTTAGCTTATGGTTTGGCGGCTCTGGGCCAGCTGGTTCCTTGACTGTTTTAGCTTCCAGCTGCTGCTCGTGTTGCTAGGGGCCCCTCCTGCACCTTCAAAGCCAACAGCCTAGCATCTTCCAATCTCTTTGGCAATGCCGTTCTTCTCTTAGAAGGGCACTTGTGATGACATGGGGCCCACCCGATAATCCAGCATAGTTTTCCCATCTCGAGATTCTGAGAGCAATCACATCTGCATGCTCTTTTGTTCTTTAAGGTGACGTGTTCACGGGTTCCAGGCATGAGGGAGTGGCCATTTTGGGGGCTATTATTTTTTCTACCATAATAGTTATCACAGAATAAATAATACAGTATAAAACACTTAGAGCCTGGCACGGAGCAAGAACTCAATAAATGTCAGCTATTATTTGCTCAAGCGGAAACCCTCGGCCTGGAAAGCCTTCACCACTCCATGGCTCTGCCCCAACGCTTTCCTCTGGCTGAATCCTGAGGCCTCCTTCTGGAAGCTTCCCGGACTGGCTCCACTGCCCTGCTGTGCTCAGGGGGGACCTGTGTTAGCATCATCTGTTCTCCCACTAGATTGTCAGCTCCTCAGCAGCTGGGACCTCGTACTCATCTCCGAGTTCTTAGCCCTGACACACGGCGTGAGAAGGGTTCACGTCTTATTGACGGCTAATGGTCCTTCCTGACTCCACGGCAGGTACAGTGAATGCAGGTCGCGGGGCGCCCTGAACCCCGCGGGGCTGCTGCTACCTGCAGGCGGGGCTGGTAGTGGGGACGTCCATGTTTTGGGATCATTGGCGGAGCAGCTGTTTCCCCATCGAGGAGGTGCCCCCATGAAAAGCGGGGAAGACAGGGCCATGTGTGCTCAGCCTGGAAAGGAGACCTGGGGTCTCGCCAGTGTGCCACCCACTTGGTGACCGGGGGCAGTTGCTGTCTCACAGCTCCACGGGGGCAGGAGGGGCCGATACAGGAAATGGGGGGTGGGGTGTCAGATGCAAGGAAGAAGGACCCAAAGAAACCATTGGGCTCAGTGGTTTGTAAAACAAAACACAGATTCGCAGGCTGTAGCCCAAACCTGCCAAGCCCGAATGTCCAGGGCAGAGGCCAGAAGCAGTAGTTTGAAAAACCACCCAAGTGGTCCTGCTGTGCAGCCAGGTCTGGGAGCCGCTGATGGGGCTGCCTGGGGCTGCAGACAGACTGTGCTACAGATAAACGTTTCCCAAAACAGGTGTGTAAAGCTGGGAGGGACAGCAGCAGTCACTTGGCTCAGAGTCTCTTCCTCTGCCTTGAGTTATGCTACCAAATGCTCTCTGGGGACGTAGCCGTCCTGTCTGCTGGGGGTGTGGCGGGAGGAGGCTGAGGGAAACGGACGCCTGGCCGGGCCGGGCTGAGGAAGGCGGCTGAGCAGAAACAGTCTCCGCCCACCGTGTCAAAACCTGCTTCCCGGTCAGATGGGGTCACTTCGGTCCCCTAACCCTGGGTCAGGACAGCCAGGCCTGTGGTCAGCAGCCGTCTAAAATCTGGAACCTTTCCCCAGCACCCCCACCCCCCTCCTCCTTTTACTCTCCTAAGCACTTACTACCTGTCGAGACGCTTAGTTATTAACCTCCTTATTTAAGTCACTTCTGACCTGCGGTCGTCGAATTGCTGGTCTGAGCCCTCCACAAAAACGCAGCTTCTAAGAGGGCCGAGCGTGTCGCCCTCCTCCGCACTGCCTGCTTCTGGTTCACTGCTGTGTCCCCGGCGCTGCAGACGCACAGTGAGGAAAGCGGCAGAGCGGACAGCGAGGAGCTGGGAGGCGGGGTGGGGCGACCCGCCGTAGTGGTCCAGGGGAGACCGGCCTCCCCGCACCCCCCGTCTGAGTTGCCATGGCTACCACAAAGCAGGGCCTGGACTGGCCCTTCTGCTTTGGGCCACCAGAGCTTAGGGGCAGGCAGAGGGGGATCCCGGGGCTCGGGGACGATGTAAAGCAAAAACTCACCCGCTCCCCGGAGGCTGGCGGACGCCGCCCGGACGTCGGTGGGCAGTGGAGGTGGTGGGAGCAGCCTCAGCCCCGATCCGCAAGTGTCAGGGGGACCGAGGAGCACGAGCAGGAGGCAGAGCCGTGACTGCTGGGGCGCGGGCAGGATGAGTCATCATCGAGCGCGGGTGGAGGGTCTGGGTTTGCTGCTGCTTCGCAGGGACTGGCAGCCGAGCAGCCTCTGGGACTGCGGGCGGGGGTCCCTTCCGAGGGACCTCAACGCATGGCAGCCTACGTGAGAAAGGGCAGGCGTCTTACAGGATCATTTGTTTTGCCCCAAACTTCATGCCTGCTCTTGGGAGCCTCCCTACTGTGTCTGCCACGCCTCGGAGCCCCCAGGCCGGCCAGTCGCCCACCGTGTGGCTTCACCTGGGTGCCGGCGACTCCCCTTCTGCCTCCAGGCGGATTCCTGCTCCACCCAGAGGCCACGACCTCACCTGGCGGGCCGTCCCCCCTCCGAACCCCCCAGCTTGCTCCTCCTCTTCCTTTCACTAGACCTGGTCCCGTTATCAGTCTGTCCGGGGCCCACAGTGGGAACTCTGGGCTCCCCAGACACCTGCCGGTCCCCTCCCCTTCCCTTCCGGCCAGGCAGCAGTGCCACCGACACGAGGGGAGACCGCGGCCCACCCGCCAGCTCTCCCCGCCCGCCCTCTCCTGCCCGCTTCCTGCGACCTGCCCACAGGGCATCGAGGCCACGGCGGGGCCGACACACCCTGCGTCTGCTCACCGGGCCCCTGGGCCCCGCACGCTCAGAACAGACCCTTCCATGTGTCGCTCATGCGTCTTGGCCACCTGGTTCCCTCTGCCTTTTCTGCTCGACCCCCCACCCCCCCAGCTCTAAGCCTTTGCACTTGCTGGCCCCGCTGCTTCGGAAGCCCCTTCTCATTTGTCTGGATTAAAAAATCTTACTCAGCCTTCCAGGGCCCCTGCAGACATGACCTCTGGTGTCAGGCCCGCCTTGTCCCGCTGCCCCCACTGTAAACACGTCTGCCACGGCACCGGTCAGGGGTAGGGAGCTGGTGGACACACGTATTCCCTCCAGACCCCGAGCTCTGTGAAGGGCTCGACTGTCCTATTCACCCTGACGTCGTCGGTGCCTGAAGTACGTGGTGCACAGTTTGCAGGTGCCTGTCACACGTTCCATAATGAATGTCTTAAAACATACGGTTTCCACACAGGCGACTGCAGTTAACGGGCCAGAGAACCAGGCACCGGCCGCCCGCGCCGGGAGGCGGGGTACACGGTGAGGACCCAGAGGCCGGGATGCAAAGCCCACGACAAAGAAAATGTGTTTCTTAACATTGTGCCTGGCTCCCGACCAACGGGCAGTTTATTTCAGACACTGTTTACTGCACCGAATTCTAGCACAAGGAGCGGGCTTGGAGAGACCGGGGGAGTTCGGAGGGATGAGAGCCCCTGGACAGCACAGAGAACCCGGGGCATGGGGGCTGGTTCCCCGGGCGACACGGCGCTTTGTCCCACCTCCTCCTGACGGTCCCGAGGGGCGGGGGCAGGACGGCGGCGGCCGTGGGCACCTTGGCTGCGGTGTAGACAGAGCCCGTTCTCCACGGCCAAGTCCGTGGGGAGAAATGGTGCTGAGACACCAACCCCCAGGGAAGGGGGGGCGGCTGCTCAGAGACAGAGATTAGGGGGTGTGCACGGCGGGGTCTTCCCGGACCCAGAGGTCTAGGCGAGCAGAGACTGCAGAGACCTTGTCCCTGTCAGGTGAAACGCAGCTGCAGGAGAGTTAGTGGAGCTGAGGAAGGGTGATCAGTGGACCCACACTTCGCCTCGTTCTAGAGAGTCTGGAGGCCGACGGCACCATCGGTTGCCCTGTGCCTCTCCCTGGAGGCTCACCGCGTCAGGACAGGACTGTCCACTCGGGCTCGGCGTCCCCGCCCGGCCACGCTCCAGACCCACAGCGCCCTCACGAGTTCAAGCCTGACTGCGCCTTTCCCTCCCCCTCCCCGTAACCTGGCTTTCCCCGTCTGCACCAGC